ACATGACGGTAAGCTGATCCAAATAACAAAAAGAGTTTAGAAAACAGAAATACAAATATCTAGCTTCTTCATTTAAGGTTATTAATATAATATTCAAGGTTGCTAGTAGAAATTGCATAAATCAACCATTCAAATCATTATGAATCTGTGAGTAAAGTCTGTGGTCAGTCAAAACCAAACTGGCTTCACAAAAGGGGGGAAAAAAATTTTAAAAAAAAAACTCATTTTTGTGGAAATTGGTCGTCACGCCCCTTGTTGCAGATATCCCCAAACTGCCTACAAGCATATTAAAACAGAGAAGTGTTTCTGGTATGCCCAAATGATGAAAATCTGTGACTAAAATCACAAGGGTATTAAAGAGGACAACATCAAATCTGCTTTCATAGAAAACCTGGAAAGCTTTTACAAACAGATGGGAACATAAAAAGTCTGGGCTGAAATGGACTGCCCTTGATACTGGCCATGTAAGTCACAAACTGTATAGGCTGGGAGTATGTCCTGGGAGACATAATGTAAAGCTGGAGGTGCTGGTCCTGGAGACAGTAATGTGTGAAGCGGAGGTGCTTCCTGGTGAGACAAGACATGGTGAAAGCTGGAGATACTGTCCTGGGGAGACAGTAATAGGTGGCAGCCTGGAGATTTTGTCCAGTAGTAGTCGGGAATAAATACGCAGGAAGAGATACATATAAATGACCTCCAGGGGACAGGAGCCATAAAGGAAACACAAGTGTAGTCCAAGATAAGAAAAACCAATATGCAAAACTAGAAATTCCGCAGAAATTAGCAATCAAGAGGATCCAATAGCAATAGTGTAGGAAAATTACCAAAAAAAAACAACTGGTGCGGAGCTCCATTGTTTGGTGCTAGGAGGAGGATAGAAAGTATGACGGGAAACATGCACCAACAGGGGAATACAGACCACAGAAACACCAAGGCCAAGCGTAAAACCAAGCCTGTGCACATACATGCACGTTGGTATCGCGGCATGGGAAATCTGGAAAAACTTGATGGGGACTGCAACTATGATGACCACCCTAGAAAATGCCATGCCCATAATGACAAACAGGAAAATGCAGAACTCCCTATCCTGTAGCTTTTCACCCTGAAATGTGTACCTCTTCAGTACAGGAAAAGACTGTGCTAAAACTTAAATTGCCAGGCATACCATCTAAAGGGGACAAAAAGAAATACAAAACATCCAGCCATGGGAAAACCTGGGTAGCCCACAGGCACTCAAGGATAAGGTTTTTTTAGTGCCAGGAAGGAAAAAAAAACCTGGCAGGAAATGGCAGAAATCGTACACCAAATCAGTCATTCCTGGAAGTGGAAACCACAGTCGATGGCATCCACTCCAAACCAACAGATACAGATACTAATGCCGGAAAAAAAAAAATCCCCCCCCAGTACCTAACAATACCACCATCCTATAACACTTCTTCCTTTGCAAATATACAGGGTCTAAAGCCACCTACAAACAACAAAATACCTTTCATCCGGGGACTCTTGCATGAGGCAAGGCAATTTCGCGGCTTTCACTAACCCACATAAGGATCACTTGGACAATGAAATATGGATCCCAGGTTACAACCTATATCAATGTGACAGAGAGTGAACAGGCAAAATGGGGGGGGCGGGTTGGCCTGTACTTGGCAGAGTCACTTGTTTGCACAGAAATGCTTAATGCCTCAAATGACGATAAGTGGAATTTTGCAGTAAAAAGTCGAGAACCAAAACCTAGTCATTGGTGGTAGTCTACAAGCCCTCCGGATGTCAACATCCCAGCAATTCCAGGAACAGCTGTTAAAAATTGACCACTGTCTGGAAAATCTTCCAGCTCCTGCACCCAACATCTTGCCCCTGGGTGATTTCAACTTAAGGCACCTAAAATGGAGGAATATAGCAAATAATAATTTGTTGCAGTAATAACACACCAGGAGGACAAGCTTCTGATGAAAACCACACTCACACGAGCTTTAAATCTCTGCTCAAAAATTCAATTTAAAACCAGCAAATAATAGAAGCCTACTAACTGGAAGAATTACACTAGACCTCAATTCACTAACAATTGATGATCTGATACGAAATGTCACATATCAAAAACCATATACTCATATCACAACATAATTGAGGTTCAGACATGTACTATCGAGAGCCCCAACCGACAAAATGAAACTAGTCACCGAGGGCAGCATTCCACCAAATTCAACTTCAATAACAAAAACATAAAGTGGGACCAATAAACCAAAGTCCTAACCGATATAAACTGGGAAAGATATACCTAAGCACACAGACCCAAACTTTATGCCTAGTACAGATTAACTCGTGGCACTGATGTATGCACAAGGCTTATTCCTCCTAAGAAAAAGGAATAGATGTAAAATAGAAAGAACAGGCGCTTCGCTCCCTTTACAGGCGACAGAAAAGAAATAACAGAGCGGCTAAAAGAGGTCAATATATCTGAATGCGCAGGGTGACACTAGGTCACAGAGAAATAGCAAGCTCGAACTTAAGCTAAAAGAATCTTTTAGGAGTCTCAAGTGACTCGCGGGAAAAGAACTAAAAGCTATCAATGAAATCGAAGAGAGAAAAACCCAAAGTATTTCTCTCCTATGCCAAACAAAATCGAGAACAAACTTCCACAGTATTGTGGGCCCCTACTTAAACAAGATGGGTCCCTACACATGACAGCAAGAGGAAATGAGTGACTACTTCAGTCCCAAAATGACTCAGTTTTTTAGCAAGACCGCTAACCAGACTTAGGTCGAAGATCAAAAGTGAAATTTTTTATGAGAGAGCCACAAAATTTGATTAACACAAACGCTATCCGAGTTATCCTGACACCCCGCAAATGACTTCGAACAGGCGATAAATGACCATCCCATGCACTCTGCCCCAGGGCCAGACTTCATGGAACTCTGTGGATCATCAGAACTGCAAGAAGTCCCTATCAACGAGCCTTTTCCATCCTATGGAGAGGACATGGACACGGGCGTCGTCCCTCAGTTAGCTAAAAACAAACAGACATAGCCCCACTCCACAAAGGTGGGGGCAGTAAAGCAACAGCAAAGAACAACAGACTCAATAGCACTAACATCCACAATCATAAAAATCTTGAAAGGGCCTAAGAAGCAAGATCACCAACCATCTAGAAACCCATCATTATACCAACCCAGGGCAACATGGTTTAGAAACAGGTCGCTCCTGTCTGTCTCAACTACTGGATCACTACGACAAGAGTCCTAAACTGCACTAGAAGACAAAAAGAAATCATATGTAAAATACAGAACTTTTGCCAAAATCATCGACAATGTGACGATGCGTTAAAATAGCCGCACAAGAATATGCGCGCTAAAGAATAACAGGACAAAAGTCGTCGATGATCTATAATTTCCATCACTAACAGAACACATAGAGTAGCCTTCACAGAGTAAAAGGCTCCGAGGCAGCTACGGTTTGAAAAGCTCTGTTCCACCAGGTGCACAGTACTAGCTGCCCTTCTTGTTCCTCATCCTCATACATCCGACATAGACAAGGATGTCAGCCACACACCGTGTGTCCTTCCCTTTGCAGATGACCCCCCGAATCTGCAAACAGTGCTTCCATTGCAGACACTGCAAGGACTCTCCAGGCGGACATCAACCAAAATCTTTTCAGTTGGCTGCAGAAACAATATGAAGTTCAACGATGAGAAATTTTCAATTACTCAGATAGGTAAACCAATTGAGGAAATTAAATCTTCATAAGAGTACAAAACAAATTCTGGCCACAAAATAGAGCGAAACACCAACGTCAAAGGACATGGAGTGATTATGTCGAGGACTCACCTCAAGGACCATACATTGTATCAATCGCATCTGCTAGAAAAAATGACAGGATGGATAAAGAGAACCTTCAAAACTAGAGGCCAAGCCCCTGAGACACTCTCTTCAGGTCACTTGTCTATCTAGGCTGGAATATTGCTGCACTCTAACAGCACCTCAGGCAGGTGAAATTGCCGCCTAGAAAATGTACAGAAACTTTTATTTCACGGCGCTCATAACGGAGATAATACACTCAATTACTGGGAGCGCTTGAGGTTTCTAACCTGTATATTCCCTGGAACGCAGGAGGCGAGAGATACATGTTTATATACACCTTAAAATCCTAGAGGGACTAGTACCGACATTGCACACGAAAATCACTCACTACTAAAGAGCAAAAGACTTGGCAGACGATGGCTCTCATCCCCCCATTATGAAAAGCAGGGGTCAGTAGCGGTGGGACGTTTAAGAGACCATACAATAAGTGTCAGAGGGCCCGAGACTGTTCAACTGCCTCCCAGCACACATAAGGGGGATTACCAACAGACCCCTGGCAGTCTTCAAGCTGGCACTGGACAAGCACCTAAAGTCAGTTCCTGATCAGCCGGGCTGTGGCTCGTACGTTGGTTTGCGTGCAGCCAGCAGCAACAGCCTGGTTGATCAGGCGCTGATCCACCAGGAGGCCTGGTCACAGACCAGTGCCTCGGGGGCATTGACCCCCGAACCTCTCTCCAGGTAAACTCCAGGATCCAAGAAATTGGAGTTACCGTCACCTACATCGACCCAAACCTGATCACATTATAATAATACAAACCTTTTATTGAGAAAATAAGATAACTGCAAACTCACTGAGACAAAGTAACCTCGGACTGTGCAAGAAAATGATGAGGAACACTTCTTATTTTTTTTTTTTTTTTTGTTATTTGTGGCGTTGGGGGTTGATTCTGTGTGTCTGTCAGAGACGTGTCTCCTCCCTTTCTCTCTCTAGATAGGCTGTATAGTCCTTGTGACTTAGCGCTTCTTTTTGATTATAATAATAATCTCTCTAGATAGAATTAGAGATAGCCTAACCAGCTAGACTTCAGGAGATAGCATCGATTAGAAAGCGTAAAATCTGTTATGTAATTTACTGCTGTTTTATCAACATATTTCCAGTTTGAACACATGCCTAATATTAATCTCTCTTGTGTGTATAAAATAGTTACCTGATTACCGCTGGGTTTCCTGGGAGGCGGAGGATGGCTCTCCCAAGGAAGATCTCTCACTCTTGCTCTGCGGGCGTGCTGCCCACGTTTACCCACCTCAGGGTGGGAAGGGATGGAATGGTGATGGTGCCGGCACCCACCCGCCCTCCTGCAGCCCACCATGGCCACGTCCACATCCCACATGGATCACAGCTACTGAGGTTAGTTATGTATTTAACACTTGCCATTATCTATTGAGTGACGCTTATTACAATTTTTTTATAAAACTGGCTGCGAGAGTAGCATATCAGTTTCACGCTTAGCGGACAGTCTCTACCACTACACTTTAGTTCTGGTATGTTTGTGTTGAAAACATTGTCAGAATAAGTAGTAAAGTCCTGCACGAAGTTTGGTTAGGTTGACGATCTTGAGAATATTGTCCCTGTACTGAACAAAAATGGCCGCACCAATATCTTAACGGTGAGTAGAAAAGGTTCTACCGATGACAGGTGGAGACCAGATTGAAACAAGAGATGCCTTTCGTAGTAAGTTTATTCTCATATAAAGGATTACAATGCTGATTTTACAGAAATTTGGTTTATTGTTTGGTTTAGATGTATTAAAATTGTGATTACAGAGTGTACCACTGAACGCTTAGCATGGCTAGCCATTTCGGGGCATCTAGTTTTATTCTTAATTGTAAAATATTACCAATTATGAGGTAAGTTTGGTATATGCAAACTGGACTAAATACTATTTGTTGAGTTTAGCAAAGTGAATGCTTTTTGTTTTGGCACAGTATATTAGTTTCAGTATTGGAGTTATCACAAGGATTCATTATTTTAGACTGAGATTAATATTTCTGTTTCCTGTTTATGGTCAAATGAGTGAGCGATTGTAAAGTTTGAACCACCACCAGGTGGTATTCGTGCAGTTAGTTGATGGGTTGTATCATGGAGATAAGATTTTTCTAATGGTAGTTTTGAAGGTGATGAATGTGTCCTGCATTTCTAGGCAGTTTCTCAGGTAGGGTATTCATATTTTGGAATAAGCCTTTTGACATATAATGAATTTTTGTAAAGGTTTTTAGTAGAAAGTCGGACCAACGGGGAATGTTGTAGAGAGTTTGTTTCTGGTGTTAGCCTGTGGGTTCTGTCACAACTATCACTTTTTTTTTTTTTTTTTTGGGACTAATTAAAACTGCCAAAAATTTCATTAAAAATTGGATTTGAGGGTTTTTTTTTCCCCCTTTGAAAAAATTTTCCCTTAAAAATTTGTTTTTTTTTAAAATTTGTGATCAAAAACCGTCCCTTTCAAAGGGAGGGGCCCCCTTTTGGAATGGTTCTAATATTTTTTTCGGTACTCTTTTAATTTTTTTTCCCAGTTCCCGAATTTGGCCCTGAATCCCTTCCATCCCCCTCCAGACGATGTATAACTTAGGGGTTTAGCACTCCCCATAAATTTTAATAATTGGAAGGGGCCCTCCCCCCTGGATTGGGCCCTTTACCCTTGGGGTCGGGCGCCACTTGTATTGGATCTCTCTTGATCAAGCCTAACCAATTTTTGACTCGCCCTTGTAAATTATCAACAACGCAAGTTCTTTTCGTAAAGACTCGTATTCGCCTAATTTTTTTTTTTTTTTTAAAAAACCGTCTTGGGTATTGTGCTGTAGTGTTAGTTCTGCTTTCCATAGAATTAAACCAGCAGGGGAACTGTACTAGGTAGAAAAAACAAACCCAAATTGTATAGCTAACCACTTTAATGTTTGGAAAGCTTAGGAACGCACGCCCCCCCAAAAAATCCTTCCCCCTCCACAATAGTGCTCGAATATTAATGGGAACTTTAATGGAGCCAGCTAAAATTTTTGGTGGTGCCTTGCAAAAGTTTTTTTTTTTTCCCGACGTTGGGAGATCAAGAAGAAAATATCATTGAGATAGAACGTGGTCTTTAAAACACCACATGAATAGTATTCCCCATTCTGTCTTGGGTATTTGAATTTTGGAGGTGTTAGTTTTGGGTAAATTATCTATTATTGTAAAAAAATATTCCTCAAATAGGGAAAAATGTCCCAGCTATATAGAAAACTTTCACGGTTACAGGACCAAGAAGTACATGGAGTCGTGCTTAAAGCTTAGGGCACTTTGGCAGCCATCAGTTTTCCCGTCCCTGCCTCCCCTCAAGGAAGGTTCCTTTGTGTGGCGAGGGGTCTTGATTAGGGAAATTGGATTGTGCTCCATTTCCTGAATTAAACCTGATGCCTTCCAATCCCCCCAAGGCGCTGTATAATCCTTGGGTTTCGCGTTTCCCCCCTGGATTATAAAAAATAACCCGGGCCCTTCCCTCAGGAAGTCGTTACACACACCAGTCTTTCACTTTTTCCCCAAATAAGTTATTACACAGACCCCCCCCTCCTCCCTAAAGGGGGGGGTTCTTGCCCCTAGGAAAATTGAATTATCTTCCCCCAGGTCGTATGATCCCTATGGATTTAGCTTTTCTAAATATTATAATATACCCCGGAGGTGCATCCTTAATGATCCGTGAAGTTGATAAGCTTTAAACAGAACAAATTAACTAAACTACGAGAATTAAAGTAAAGATAAGTGTTCAACTTACTTGGAACAATTATTTGAATTCAAAAGCACTAAGGATTTTTTTTATTTTTATTGGAAATTAAAGTTTTTTTTTTTTTTACATATAATTGCTAGTTCATCGGTATAATGGTATTTAATATTGTTATAAAAAAAAATGACAATGACCTTGCTGTTAGGCTTTTGATTTATTGTTTAATCAAAGGGTTTCTAAACCCCTGGCCCGGGAAAGGGTTTTAAAGTGACTCTTGGGAAATATTAGAAAAATAATAATACATAATTCTCAAACCATAAGCAAGTGGTCAAATTTTAGAGAAAAACCCGTTAAGGTATTTGATTGGGTGAAAAATTGAGTAAAAAGTTGAAGCCCTTTTTGATTTTTTTTTATATCTTAAATTTTTAATATGAAATAAATTAGGAATTAAATGCATTTTTGGGTAAGTGTTTGTCAGTTTCATGATCTCGGGTATATAAAGAGTTGCCAGTCAGGTTTGTGTAAATTTAATGATCCCATATGAAAGTTGGCAACGGATAATAAAAAGGTAATTTAGTGTACATTTGCTTTAATTCACTTTTTTAAGGGTTTAAGTATTCTTGACTGGTGGTGAAAAAGGGTACGTGCGTTTAAATTTTAATGTGAGTTGATTGGCTTTAAAACCCCGTTGACGAAAACCAACAGTTAAACTTCCTGGCCAGTTTAGTTCTTCATATATGTATGTTGTAATAGTTATGTAAAAAGTGAGGCAGGGGTTGGTTAGGGGGGGAAGAAACTGAAAGTACAGAGTATATTGGAGGCCCAAAAAAGCGTAGTGTGCAGAGATAATTGTAGACTTGTTAATGGGGCTTCGTCTAGGTTGGTATTTTCAGTGAAGATTCCAATGAAATTGTTGTGTGCCCTTTAAACCCATTCAGGCTGCGACAAAATATTTTCCCGATATGCAGTGAAAGTGTATTATTTAGGGAGCGCAGTTTTAAAAAGGCACTTGAAAACCACATAATAACTATCTTTGTCAAGAAGGGAAGCGAAGTAAACAAGATGTCTCAACAGGAAAATTAATTTTTTAAGGGTAATGTGAAAACGATCAGCAGTGAGAAGGGGGTCTAGCTGTCGTGTTGTATAACAAGGTAATATCTGACAAGAGATGCAGTTTTGAAAGGGCGCAAATTCCCTAATATCCGTTGCTCAAAAACCCGGGCCAAACGGCAGACCTTTCCCGATGGAGAGTTTAAGAATGCATGAGAAAATTAATGGAGGAAATGTCCTACAAGGTTGCTTTTTTTGGGAAGTAATTTATCTGAACTACAATCCCCAGGCACGTTATGACATGGGAGAACCTGTAAATTTTGTTTGACAAGAAACACATTTTAAAACATTTCTCTTTGGCACTCGATAAGAGAACAAATTCTAGATACTGCCCACTTTAATTTTTTTAAAGGGTATTGATTTTAATATTAAATAGGGGGAGCTGTATGCTCTGGAGAGCATGAAAGTACTACACCGCAAAAAATACTTTAATAGGGGACAGTGAATCTGAGGAATTTTAACAGAGTTAGAAAAACCGAGAACGTACATCCGGGGACAAGAAACATTTTTGGAAGTAAAATTGGTGTAGTTGCAAAAATTAATAAAAATGAATGAAACTGATGGAAATCCCCATACAATTTAACTATTTATTACTAACAGGCTCGTGCGAAGCTCCACGGCTCGAAAAAATGAAGGGGGGAAACGAAATTTTTTTCGGAATCATTTAAAGAGACAAATTTTCAAAACTTCCCTTTTCCAGCTGCTGTGGGCTATAGCGATGTGTTGTACTATGTGATGTAAGATGGCTTACAGATGTAAGGTCCTCAAACAAGGTTTTTTCTCTGTCTGTTAACATTTTTTTTTTCACCCAGAAAGGGGGAGATGAGAGATTTTTTGACCCCGGGATTGGCTTTTTGGTGATGTAACCAGTTTTTGAAAAATATGAATTAAGGTTACAGGTAATGTTGTGAAGCAAATTCGGTGTAAATTTTTCACATTTTTTTTGCGTAAAGAACTCTCATTCGACAAGGAAAGGAATTCTCAGATCCCCATGGAAAGAAATCACTAAAGCTTCGGCAGAGGGATTAGAGAAAATTTTATTTTCAAAATCAGAAAAAAAGTAAAATGTTTCATAATCCATTTGAAGTTCACCGGCGAGTAGTGAAATATTTTCAATGAACCGATGATTTGCAAACCAAACATAAAAAAAATACAGTGAAAGGAAAAGTATTCACTTTTTTAATTTTTTTCATATTTACTGGAAATTTTCTTATTGATAAAGATGATTTTTTAGAAAAATACACTGTTTTTTATTCGTTCTTTTTTGTTTATTGGGGAAAAATTTTCTTTAGTTGGTTGTTGTTGATACGTTAATTTACCTTCTGTTTCAAGATGCGACTCTCCTCGCATCAAAAGCCCTAGTAGTGGTGGCAGATGTAGACAGCTTTGAGAACCTTACATGGATACCTGGATTCCTTGTCAGAATTCAAACCACGGAAGATCGTAAATCCTTATACAGACACAAAAGGAATTTGTAAGATAGTTAATTAAGTGGTCCTAATAACCAGGTTGTTGAAGTACCTTAAGAAAATCGAAGACCATCATTTAA